AAACCGTGGGTTGGAGTTCATTCCCTCCACCCACGTTTCTTGTTTTCCAACGGCTCAATCAACATCCCCACCACCCACCCTGGACCAACTACAAGACCACAACTGCTTGGACGGACGACTCCATAGCTAGTAATATTTGCATGTACTAGCATGTGTTTAAGAACGATGCATATGTTGTAATAAGCCAGTTGCAATGAGAACGATGCCAAATTATAAGGACAAGAAAGCAAGCTTTCTCAATCTTAGGGTCGGTGTAAGCCATGTCAAACATTGATGTCAGCAGCGGAGGTCCGCTTTAGGTCCTAGCCTGAACAGGTTTGGTGGCCCCTTGGCTGGGTTGTGTTTTCGGTTACCCGCTCGTTATCTGGTTCGCCTGAGCAAAACTGGTCGAAACCTACATTTTCTAGAGTGTCCGGGTTCATAACAAAATGCAATTTTCAAGTACAAAATTCCAAAATGGATAATACGAGAAAATAGCAGATAGGTGACCAGCTCTACTACTGGCCCTACCAGTGTCCAGCAGTAGAGCTCGATATTTCCTGCATACGTACAAATAAAAATGATAGTTACACCTTCTGGCACACAGTCACGCGACGCGACTTTTGCCTTGCTCACCGTCGCGTCGCGTTCTAAGAGTCGCCGACTGTTGAGAAAAGCCCAACGATGAAACTCGAGTGGATGGCGGATTGCCACATGGCTCCTCAGGCTTGGAGGGACGAGCGTGCCTTGCTTTCACGGAAGCGCCGCCGGGCGGGGAACATTTACGGAATAGTACACGTAATAAGGTTCGACATTAGGATAGACCATAGACTCATCATTCGTCGGAGTGCAGGTTCCAGAGGGGACGAGTCAGTCAGCGAGCGATCCCTCGTCGTCATTCAGTATGATAACTGAGGGGTTCCGTCCGGCGAGTCCTTGATATCGCCGAGAACCAACATCTCTCCTCAAGATGGTCTCTCCTACGTGTACTCAAGTAGGCTCACAGAGAGCAGTGCTTTCTTGCCTGATCACCATCCCGCATCCCCTCGCTGGAGACTTCGACTCGCGTCATCAGTTCAACGTATCGCCGTGCCCATTGGGCGAGACACGTTCATGTTAGTGACTGAGTTGGAGTGACTGCCTATACTACTACTTCCGAAGTTCCTGCTTCGCCGGGACTGACCCAACATCATGCCGCAAGCTGCGGCGGCGCCGACTCGGACCGTCAGATCGACCACCAGCCTGCTCCCGCTAATCAACGCGGTCCACGTGTCCTCCATCTGGCACGACATCCTCCTCATTCCGCCTCCGCCTTCCTCGAACGGCGCCAGGAGTCCCGTGGCCAGCTCCTCCTCCCCGCGCCAGCCACCCGCTTTCCCCTTCCCCACCTCCGCCTTCACATTCGTCTGCCGCGCCTCGAAAACGATCTTCGCGGATCGCGACCGCGAAAGGCAGCGGCGGCACACTAGAAATGAAGACCCTCTTCTCGAGTTGCTCCAGGAGAAGCGGAAGGTTGTCGTGTTGACCTTGGATGGCAGCCTTTGTAACGCCTACTCTACCTAACTACTGCGGGTTTCCTAAGTCAACATCGAGAGAGTGCTCAATGAGAAATGACGCGAAGGGAATCGGGAAGGTTGAGTTGGAGAGGAAGATTGGTTTGGCATTTCCAACCCTCAAACCTTGAGGCTTGGAAACTTCCAACCCGTCAAAGTGAAGATTGGAAAGGTTGGATTTCCAACCAATCACATTGTGCCAGTTTTTGTTACAATCCAACCAAACGACAAAGCAACCATACAAATCAATTAAGTTGGGTTTTCCCAACCAAACAAAGATGCCACCTAGGCTCCAAGCCTATGAGCTCCCTAACCATGGAATCCATGGTTGGGAATAGCCCCCAAGGGGTATTGTGGAAGGGGTTTGAGCTTGTCAGAATCCCAACCACTAGACCATTGGGATAAAAGGGCTTGTTAAGTAGCGGGTCAGTGCACCCATAACCCCCCAGGGCAACGAGCCTGTAACCCTTCCCTAGGATCAATCGGGGATCTCCAGTGGAACTCTGACACCCCCCCGCACTAGGATGCCCGAAGTGCATACACTGGGATTCGAACCCGAGACCGCTCTGATACCATGTCAGAATCCCAACCACTAGATCATTGGGATAAAAGGGATTGTTTGTGTAGCGGGTTTGTGCGCCCATAACCCCCCAGACGAACACATTTGTAACCCTTCCCTAGGATCAATCGGGCATCCACAGTGCAGATCTACTGACACCCCCCCACACTGGGAGGCCCAGGACTGAGCACAGCGGCAACGGCCTACATGTGCATACACCGGGATTCGAACCCGAGATCGCTCTGATACCATGTCAGAATCCCAACCACTAGACCATTGGGATAAAAGGGCTTGTTAAGTAGCGGGTCAGTACGCCCATAACCCCCCAGGACAACGAGCCTGTAACCCTTCCGTAGGATCAATCGGGGATCACCAGTGGACCTCTGACAGAGCTTGTAGGCTCATTCCTCACTTCCCAACTCCAACAATCTAACTTGGAAATGGGATTTTCACTCGAAGTCTTGGTTCTCTCTAACAAGCTCTCCTACACAACTAGAATTGTGTTTACTTCAAGGACAAGCTCTACAAGAAGCTACCTACCTATTTGCTAAAGCTTCATCAACATTCTTCAAGCTCTATTTCTCCTCTCAAGCTTCAAGAGTACTATCAAGACTAGATTATCCCTTGGTGGGATTAGTTCAACTTGGAAGCCTTGTATCTTGATTTTATATATATTGTCAAGGAGGATTTATATTTAACACACGGTTGCCTGTTGTTATAAGGGTTGTGGTTGTTACAGCCTTGCTATTGAAGTGCCGCGGCAGACGGGCGGCCGTTGCAACTCGGAGAAGAAGACAGCTCCATCCGCCGAGCCGCCGTTAACGTCGTTGGCGCCGTGGAATCTGGGCATCCTGCCGCAGACGTGTGTCATCACGTCGCGATCCATGTCGATGTTTTCCCGCTGGGATACGGCGGCGGCGATTGGTTCGAATGGCCGCGGCGACGACCTTGAATTGCCGGTGAAGGAGCTCTGTGATTCGCTCTTAACGGCGTGCAACAATTCCCCGCTGGAAGCGCTGGAGATTGGGTCGCAGGCACGCAACCGTAGCGACACGTACGAGGTTATCCCGCTGCTGGCGATGCCCCTGGGACTGCTGGGATCTGAGCGAAACAGCATGCCGATTTCGTGGAGGATTGTAACAATCGCAACGGACGACAAGTTGGTGGCGAACGGGCAGCTGAAACATTTCAAGCTGCAAAAATTGTTGGATCGCGTGCAGGACTAGGCGAAAACGTCGGATTATTTTGGAGATATCGAAGGACCAGGTACCACTTGAAAATCCGAGCGAAGTTCCGAGTGTGAATTTTGAGCGAAAATCTGTTATCAAGTGTGCCAGGCTGGTTACCTTTTCCGCCCCTTCCTCTCCCCCTCTCCTTCATCCCCCTCTCCTTCATCTCCCCCTCCTTCTACTTCCCCTCCGTTCTTCCTCTCAACTCCCCAGTTCGTTCATATCGATGCGTTCTTGGTCCTTCCACCCGTCCTTCCCTCCTCCTCCTTCCCTCCCTCTTTCCTCTCCTCCCTTCCTTTACTCTCCTCACTCCTTATACAGTCCTTTCTCAGTCCTGTCACTGTCCTTTCTCGAAGCATATCCAGGTTCATAACCTCTCCCTTATAACTTACTTCCCATTCCATATTTTTCCTATTCTAAGCATAAATTGAGCAATCGTTGCCAATGCGGAACGTTTGAAGGCCCTACCCCGCCTTAAACCCCTCCTCCTCGTTCCCTCCCCACCCCACCCCCCCCCCCCCCCCCCCCTCTCCTCCCCGCACCCACCCCCTCCTTTCTTCCCCCTCCGTATCCCGCATTCTCCCATGCTCGGTCTCCCCTCTACCCCTCGTCCCCTCACCTCCCTCCTCTCTCCCCTCTCTCTGTCCCTCATCCGCGTAGGTCGGTCCCCCAATCCTTGCCTTGACGCCCCCCTTCTCCCTCGCTCGCAAAACCAGCGGAAAGAGATGCATGGGGAAGCCTCGCTGGACCGCAAGACTCCATGATAGGCCGTGAGGGGCTGGTAGCATCACGACGAATTTCTCCAGCAGAAAGGGAGGCGTGGGGAAGCCTGGGGAGGAGGGGGAGGAGGAGGAATGGGATGAGGCCCCCTCCCGAGAGTTGGAAGAGGAGGAAAAAGCAGCAAAGCAAGCAAGGGAAGCGGAGCAGACTGTGCTGCATGCTCACAGCACGTGGCGCATCCTCTGCCCCACTTTGCGCCGCCCCATTCTCAAACGCATGGGTCAAGCCTTCAAGAAAAAAGGGACGCACCAGTCCGAGAAGCAGCGGCAGGAGCAGAAGCAACAGCAGCAGCAGCAGCAACAGCGGCAGCAGCAGCGGCAGGGGTGGCACGATAAATTTCCGCGTGCCAGCAGCACCGGCGGCAGCTGTAGCAGCGGCGGCAGCAGCGGCAGGGTTGGGCCAGTGCCTTTGTGTGTGTCAGATGATGTGCCAACGGTTTCCTCCTGGCCCTTCTCCTCCACCTCCCCTACCTCACCTTCCACCTCTCTGTTTTCCTCCTCTAAATCCCCCTCCAAATCACCTTCCCCTCCCTTCTCTGCCTCAGCCTCGTCTTTCTCTGCCTCGGCCTCATCACCATGCCTGGACCGGGCGGCGAGCTCCAGCCGCCTGCAATCGTATCAGATCCGCCAAACAAAATCTGCTACGGAGTTTGACAGCAGCGTCTGGAAGCTGATTGCTCCTCCCGAGAGCTATGGGCTTCCGGGGATGGTGTCTCCTCGAAGGCTGGAAGAAGGAGGAGGTGGAGGGGGAGAAGGAGGAAGAGCAGGTGGAGGTGGAGGAGGAGAAGGAGGAGGAGGGGTGAAAAGTGGAGCTGGAAGGAAGCACAGGAACAGCCACAGCATTGAATTTGCTGCTGTGATAAAAAGCAAAGACTGGCTTCACAGCCACGACTTCGCTGCAATGATGAAAAACAAGGACTGGCTTCACAGCCACGGCTTCAAAGACTGGCTTCACAACCCTGAGTCTGCTGGTCACGTGGTGGCTGCTGCTGCTGAGGGTGCAGCAGCAATGGCAGGAGCGGCAAGGCAGCAAGTTGTTGCTGGCTTGACTGCTGTAGCAGGGACTGTAGCGGAGAAAGTGGCTGGGACAGTGGCAGGGACTGTAGCCGGGACTGCTGTTGTTGCTAGCTTGAATGCTGTAGCAGGGTCTGTAGTGGGTACTGTAGTCGGGACAGTAGCAGGGACTGTAACCGGTCGCAGAAGCATGAGCGCAATCTCTTTAGGTGTTTTACCAGGTGTTTCTTGGAAAACGCAGTCTAATGTTGCAAGCCTCGAATGGGGGAGCGAAGGAAGAGGAGGAAGAGGAGGAGGAGAAAGCGGAGGAGGAAGAGGAGGAGGGAGAGGAGGCACAGAAGATATACCTCACACTGTCTCATCACTCACCCGATCCCCTCCGGTCAGTTCCTCATCTCGACCCCCTCTCACTCCTCCTAGCTCCTTCACTTTCTCTCCCACCTCTAGCTCTAGTGCCCTGTACGACCATCCAGCTGCCTCCTCCCCTCCAGGTGCTGTGGGGGAGGGAGTCTCTTGGAACGGCATGGTTGACTCTGCTGATGATGCAGGAGGAAGGGGAGGAGGAGGAGGTGGAGGGGCGAAAGGTGGTGTTGCAAGGAAGCCGCCAAGCAGGCACAGGCACAGGCACAGCCTGAGTGTGGACTTTGCATCGATGGCAAAGAACAAGGACTGGCTTCACAGCCCTGAGTCTCCCACTCAATGGCTCGCTGGTGCTGCTAATGCTGCAGCAGCAGCAGCAGCAGTAGCAGCAGCAGCAGCAGCAGCAGCAGCAGCAGAAGTGGCAGTGGCAGAAGCAGGGTCCGGGAAAAGCAGTCCTGATGCTTCAAAGGTGGAAGGAGGGAGCAGAGGAAAAGGAGGAGGAAAAGGAGGGGCAGAGGATTTACCTCCTCTTGTCTCATCACTCACCCGATCCGATCCCCCCACTCGCTCCTCCAGACCTCCTTCTCTTACTGTCCCTCGTCGAAACCCCTTTCTCACTAATACCCCACCACCTCGATCCCCCTCTCTCACCCTTCCACCTCGCTCTCCTTCTCTCACTTCCCCTCCTCGGTCCCCCTCTATCACCACCCCACCTAAATCTCATACTTCCACTCTTCCCCCCCGATCGCCCACACCAAAGCTCCCAGCTCGATCCCCTCCCTTCACTTCCCCATCTCAATCCCCTCCTCTCACTCCCCAACTCAGTCCCCTCCACTCGTAGACTTCGCATCGATGGCAAAGAACAGGGACTGCGGCACCAGCAGCAGCAGGTGGCAACAGAAGCGGAAATGCAAGCAGCAGCGAGGAAACAGCACCTGCACCACGATCCACTTCTCTCACTCCCTCTCACTCTCCCACCGGCGCCCTATCCCCCTCCGCGCACCATCTGAGCAGCAAACCACCTACTGCTGCCACCACGGCCTTTCAAGCTACCCGCAAGCTGGTGTCTTGGAATTTTTATTCGAAGCCTTCTCCTGGCACTGCCAGTGCAAGGGGTGGGGAGAATGAACCACCGGAAAAGAATTTCAACAAGACTGTTGGTGAAACCACCGCTGAGGCTAGTCAGGAAACAACAATTCCAGCAGATGCTGCTTCACCTGCTGGCGTTTCTGGTGCTGGTGCTGGTGCTGCTGCTGGTGCTGGCGCTGCAGCGGGTCCGGCTGTTGCTACCGCAGCTATTCCCGGTGGCGCTGCAACGGCTGCTGGTGCTGCTGTAGCTGCAGCTGCATTGTCAATGTCATCCCGTTCCTTCCAACTCCCAACCCGAGCCATGACCATGTGAGCTGCTTCCAGGTCGCCCTCGCACGAGGTGAATTTTGAGTCGCCCCAAATGTCTCCCCGTTCCTGCCAGCTCCCAACCAGAGCCATGACAATGAGTGCAGCTTCGAGGCCTTCATCGAATCTTCCTTCCTCCAAGCTTCCTGTGAAGAGCCGGAGCGCCGACCAGGGGCACAGGCGGAATGCGTCTTTCTCAGAGTTTGGGGGATTCGCAACAGGAGAAATCTCTGATGGGTTTGATTTTTTCACTGGTGGAGAAGCTACTGGGAAAGCAGGCGGGAAAGCAGGCGGGGAAGCAGGCAGGGAAGCAGGTGGGGAGGCATGTAGGGAAACAAATGGGATAGCAGGTGGGGGAGCAGGTGTGGAAGCAGGTGTGGAAGCGCAAGGGAGAAATACAGGAAGGAAAACACGACCTCCGTTCTTGGTGGTGCCTAGCCGTAGCTTGCACAAACGTACCTTAAGCCATGGCGCACCGTTTGGGTCCCCCACTCTCTCCCCGGCGTAGACTGCGACGACTTAAAAGCCGCAGCTTGCACAAACCGAGCTTAAGCCATGACACAGCGTTTGGATCCCCCACTCCCTCCCAGGAGTAGACTGCCCGGACAGTACGGTCACATTGAGCAAATTAGTTGTTGCACAAAAAAATGGTAAGTGTGGATGGCAGTTAAGATTTGCGTACTGTGTCAGCGTGGAGAAGCTGGCAGGGAAGTGTCAGCCGTACTGTGTCAGCATAATGTGTTGCTATCAATCTAATGTACTGGTACTTGAAATCCTGTATTTTACCTGCTAGATTCTCAAATTTGTTACGTGGAAGCATGAGGTATATTTGTTACGTTTTATTTCGCCCTTTTCGCAGACAAATTTCGTGCGCGCGCTTGAGTGATGTCTCCCAACAGCTGAAGATACGGGAATTGTGGTGCTGCTGCGCTGTGCAAACAAAACGATCTTTGTTCTCCCCAATGAATGGAGAGCCTGCTTGGTTTGGGATCACTTTGGCTGCTTCAGGTTCGGAATCCGTGTGATTCCAGCCATACAATTATCAGGTTTGGTTGAATCTAGGGCCAGCAGCAGGTTCGGTCTCAGCGTCGCTGATTCGGCATTGCGAAATCTTGCTTCCCATCCCATCACCAAACCCATGTAAGGCTGCCCCAAATCAACCTCCCTCTTGCACCCAACCACCCAACCAGCCCAGACCTCCCTTCACTCCCTCAGCTGGTTCCGAGCCGAAAGTTCGCTCAGACTTCTACTACCGTACGAATGTCTAGGTCGCGAAGTAGCGCTTCAGATTTGTGAAGCGACAAAACCGAGGAAATGACGGAGCGCCGTGTTTTCTAGTTTACGATTCCTATGGGCAGTGGTTTTGACAGCGCATTGCTTCGCGCTCGCGTCCAATACCTTGGGGCATATTATTTCTCCGTTTCCCCTTTTGAGTCCACAAATACAGATTTGTTTGAGTTTACGGGATATTACAAATTTATGTGTCGAGTCCATAGAAAACGCGCAGCTCGGGACAAAAAAAAAACCTTCATGGATGGTATGCCACGTAGAGGGCATCAATCATAAACACCATGAGGCAAGGTGTTTAGGGTTGATGCCTCCAAATGGCTTGTCATCCGAGTGGGTTTTAGTTTTGCCAATGACCTCTACACTGAAACCAGGTAGACTTAGTATTTTCCCTTCTATGCGTTTGGTCACGAAAAATGGGAGATAGCAAAATAAACTGTCCGCGAGAATTGGGCGCTAGCACGGAGAAGGTCGCTGTCAAAGCCACTACCGAAAGGAATCGAGAACGCGCAAACACGGTGGTCCGTCATTTCCTCGACAAAACCGCTCCAGATTCCGCGACGTAACAGACCTATACCGTACCAAAACACTACTCATAAAAGCTGTTAGGCACATCCATAAACCAGACATTTCGAGAGAATTGCTCTTGGGCCTTGTTTGGTGATTCGCTCTTGCCCACGTGTCCCCGAATTGCTCGCGTGTCCATCCAAATCAGTGATAATTGCTCGAGTGGCCACGCCATGGCATTTTCCATGTGTTTTTTTCCCCCGGCACATTACCCTACAAGGATTTGTATCCCCAAAATTCCTCGTTCGCACGAGTCTCATCCAGCGGTAGTGATTCGTACTATTCACCACCCAAAAATTTCGGGTGGGTGGCGGGCGCGAACGTGGCCTACACAATGTACACAAAACCGACAAAAATGCACGACCAACAATGGATGCGCGGTCATTTTCGGCCCAATGCGCGACCAATGAGCGCGCGGTCAAACAAATTCGTAACCAATAAGCGCTCGAGCATATAAATCCGCGATCATAAACCTCAATTGACCAGCATCAAACCGTAACAGCCCTAGCGACCGCGCATGATTCGTCAATAATATGCGCGGTGCAATTGTTTGTGAGAAACAGAGGGATGTTAGAAATGAGAAAAAGAGGGGGTTCACTAGCAAGCAGTTGAGTACATATAGGAAACCCTAGATTGGGCTGTACTCACTATTGAGTACCCCACTGCAGGCTAGACAAATACAACATATTCTGACACACCCCCATAGCCAAAGTGGGGTGTAATCGGCACAAGCAAGCAAAGCAAAAACAAGCTCAGGGTGGATCACAATGTCACCACACATTCTGAGCACAAGTACAAGGCCACAAGGCCAGTTCACAGGCAGAGCAATAGTTCACAAATATAAGCAAAGCTAGAAACTATCACAGAGGGCAAGTGAGGAGGAGGAGGGACTATGAGAGGAGAGAAGGTAGGAGGAGACGGGTGAAGCTGCAAACACACGGGCAACAGGAGCGGCGCGCACTGTGGCTACCGGAGATTGTAGCCTCCGGACTACTGGAGTAACTGGCTCCGCGGCTAACTCTGAGCGGCAGGAGCAACGGACCCACGGGCGACTGGCGCAGCAGGCTCGCTGGGCTACCGGAGATTGTAGCCTCCGGACTACTGGCGCTGCTGGCGACACGACGGCTACCTCCGTCCAACCTCCCCAAACTGTCCCACCCCCCTTTCAGACACCCCCTGCGGCACCTCTAGCACCGCTTACACGCCACCCCCTTAGTACCACTCCATCGTCTCCCACACACCCACCCCCCTCAGCGGCAGCTGCAGCAGTGGGAGACGGAGTAGGAGGAGCAGGAGATGTCACACACCCGCCACCCCCCACTCGCCACCCCCAAACCCTAACACAGGGCAGGGCCATAGATGGCGGGTAGGGAGGGTACGGGGGGGGGGGGGAGCAGGGCCGCGACGAAGACAGGAGGGGGGGCCGACGCGGGGCCCCCTGCAGTCGCGCGGCCCCCCCCTAGGGTCGCCTCGACAGGCGACGGGAAGTGGGGCCGCGCGGGCCCCCGTTGGCGCCGCGACGAGCGACGAAGGGGGGGGGGGGGGGCGCGGGCCCCCGTTGGCGCCGCGACGGGCGACAAAGGGGGGGGGGGCCGCGCGGGCCCTCGTTGGCGCCGCGACGGGCGACGAAGGGGGGGGGGGGGGGGCGCGCACGAGCCCCCTCGGGCGACGAAACCGCCGTGCGCCCCGAGGCGCGCGACAGGCAAATCAGGGCGTCGCGCTGCCCCAAGGGCGGCGCGACGAGCAGAAAACCGCCGCGCGACTCGAGCGCCCGGCGGGAAGAAAAAGGGTCGCGCGCAATGGGCGCGCAGCAGACAGGAAGACAGTGCGCGCCCGAGGCACGCGATAGGCAGTGATGACAGCGGAAGTCGTGGTGGGCCCATGCACAGGATCGACCCGTGAGGGTCGACCTGCTCTGATTCCATGTTGGAAACCAAAGGAAGTTAGAAATGAGAAAGAGGGGTTTCACTAGCAAGCAGTTGAGTACATATAGCAAACCCTAAATTGGGCTGTACTCACTATTGAGTACCCCACTGCAGGCTAGACAAATACAACATATTCTGACATTGTTGGCATTACGCGTCCAATCAGGTGCCATCATTAAGGATTGCGACCATCTTTGACCGCGCAAATGAAACTCAATTTACTATATGATCTCGCCAATCATTTGCTAAAAACACTCGCACAAACATAAACAGTGGCCAATTAGGTTCAAATTAAAACGCTCAATCTGGTTTGGTACGCCTGTATCATGTTCCAGCGCATTATGATTTGAAACATATGCTACAGATCGCTCACAACATTACCCTAAACTCCAAATCAATGTTTAGAACTCAACACATATATGTATAGATCTTGACATGTTTAAGCCGTTGTCGTTTAAATGGTACATGGAATATACTCACAATATGCTGCAACTATATTACCGGCAATACAATATTATGGACCACAGTTATGCTGGGCTTAAAGTAATAGCAGAGAATATATTTATGTCATTTGATATATATGGTTTTATATGGACCGGACATATGATATAACTAATGGTAGTATATGCGCGCTCATATTGGTTGTTGGGCGACCCTTTATCGCATA